ATTGATATAAATACAAGAGGGTGTGGTGACGATAAGCTTGAAATAGACTTTCCTATTGTTTCAGGCATCACTGTCTTGCCCCAGCAAAAATGTGTACATGCCCCATGTTTCCAGGTAAAAACACTCAAGACGTCTAATAAAATTCTAAATATATAAATGATATAAACCAAATAAATTAACCAGAAAAAAGGAACCGAACTAAACAGTTGAAAAGAAAGCTGAATATCCTCTGAACTAACAGTTTAGTAGTTGCACAAGGGCATATTTCACAATACGGGTTCTGTTAAGAGGACAAGACACATTTACAGTTAACATCGGTCCCCTCCCCTTGATCAAATTAATAAAACAGTCATGTTCTGCAAAGTTCATGCATGCTGTGTTTCACATTACTATGGTGATGGTGCAGTACAGATGTTCTACAAACTACATGAAGACACCTTTGCATCAGTCCTGTTTTTGCAATTGGAGATAAATGTGCTGAAATTATATTGCATCCCTCAACTCTCCAGTCTTTCAATCTCGTACTGTAGGTACTCTTTCTTACTGCAGTCATTAATATATTCCAGGTTGTGGTATGGAATGAGATGGTTACTTGTCTAAAAACATCTCAAAGGACACATATAACAGATGTACTTTGGATGAGTTTCTTGGCCCTAGAATGGTGTTCTGGTTAATTTTCTGGGAAAGGACTTGTTTGACCACGTGTGAAGATGTCGAGGAGGAGAGTGCTGTCCCCAGGAGATAAAGGAAAAGAGAGAAAGAGTGAGCAGGAACAGGAGGACCTGAGGGAGAATACGGCGGCAAGGGATAAAGTGGAAAGGATTGGGAAGTGAGTTTAGTGGAAGAGCATGAGGGTGAGGGGCTGTCCGTTTGGGAAGAAAGTATAAGTAGCCAGTGTCGGTTCGCGGTGGAATTGGAGATGTGGAAAAGGAAGAGAGCTGGAGAGGTTGAGGGAATATGGGAGAGTGAAGACTCAGGGGCTGTTGAGGGTCTTCCCTAACCTGAAGCTCCCTGCAACCAGGCCCAGTACCGAAGGAGAGTGAGGAGGTGAAGTATGAGACTCGAGTGGTCGGTGGTAGTCTTCTCCAAGAATAAGGGACGCGGGCAGCAGGTGATAAGACCCAGTTCGCATTACAACACTCCTGAAGGCGACTGGGCAAAGCACCCATGCTGCGGCACCATTTGCACAGTACGGAGCGCATCCCTTTGGAAGCCAATAGATGTCAAGAGGTTTGGCCCAGCACCCTTCCCAAGTTCAATGAAAGGAGGACATGACTACGTGTTGGACAGTTACGGCTTGTTGCCTGAATTAAGTTTTTTTTGACCCCATCATGAGTAATGTTGATTTTCCAGTTGTTAATAAAGACAAAGTTGTTAAAGTTAAGACCTCTCCCTGTGGTATTTCCCGCACAAAATGAGTTGTCAAAATGTCTCCCTGTGGTATTTCCTGCACAAAATGAGGAGTTGTCAAAATTTGAAAATGAACCCATTCACACCACATTTGCCTACAAGATGTCCTGGAATAAATCCACAACATCTGTTAAGGCTGGATCAAACCCTTTGACGGGATCTTTTACTGTCACCATTGAAATAAGTATGGGTATGTGCATGGAGAGAGATACACAGATTTTCTGTATTGCTCCCCAATGTTACATGCTGAATACATATTCTTTATAAGAGGTGTATTCAAGCTTTAGGTGCCACCACACAAAAATCAAGCATTGTCCCGTCAAATGCGATTCACCCTGATCTTTTGATCTTTGTCTTCCTGCCTGAAAACCTGGGGAAGCATAGCAGTTTCCAGTCTGCTGACATCTCATAACCCCAGTGGGGAAAGTCAGGTGACTTCTTTGGCTTCCAAGAAAGTACAGAAGATGATGTTTCACCTAAGCGTGTAGTGCTTGTCCTCACCTAAACGTTAATTTTACATAAAACGTGAGCATGTCGGCTATGAGTCCCAAACAGAGAAACTCTCATGGTTTTGATACAGTTCCATCTCCAGATGGTATTAGAATGCCCTCTGATTGAAATGACAGCCTTTCCGCAGACTAGGGTTCCTACCTGTTGGATTCTTAGCTCTATAATTAGCCTTGATCCAAGGCGCCCTTGTTGTTCGTTCAGTTTACAAAGTTACTCTCAAGAGGAATGAGTATAATGCCATGACATTTCTAAGGGTGCAAGAACAGGATGATGTTGTACTTGTTAAGCTGAAGAGGGTGGCCATTATAGTCACACAACAACTTGGACGGCTCAGATGGGAAAGGCTACTGTGGAAATCTGCCAGTCATTACGGACAATGCAGAGGCTGAGGGTTTGAATATATACAGTATTCCAAAATCCTAACATTTTTAAAACATGCTTTGTGCAATATTGACTATGAATATTTTTCAAACCTATTTGCCATAAACGTATAGTTTTCTCCCACATTCTTATATGGGATGACAAGACAAAGGAAGGGTTTATTTTTGTATCAGAAGCACCACTGCACAATTAATACATCAAACAATTTTTGTGCAGGAACAGGCAACATCAAGTGCATTGGGGGCAGCTGGCATCTAATTTTTCCTAGTATAAATTGAAGATTATAAGATACATTGACTATTTTAAAAGGCAGCTAGTTCTTGCTTTCTGAGCTGCGGTCCCAGCTGTTTCTTCAGGATCCACAGATATTCTGAAAAAAAGAAAAAGTTTTCCTTGATTTTAATCTAGAAGAGATTAAAATGGTGTCTCCTAGCTCCTCCATCTGGGACTGGAGTAGGGATTTATGTCCATACAATTTATGGCCCACCATGTCTAGAAAAGAAGATCTACCAAATGGCCAAGACAACGCTATTGAAGTAGCCTCCCTCTGGTCAAAAATAGTCTCTTAAAATTCTAATTTGTTTTTAGTGAGACAGAATTAATTTTTCCTATATTTCATATATATATATCTCAGAATTTTAAATTGACCAACACTCTCATAAATAATAAAGAATGAAACATCCGGGAAGGATGGAAGGGTAGCCAAAGAGTGGATGCTCATTTTGTGTACTTTAGATTTCTCTATTAGCCACGACCTCTCCTTCTACATTCCCTAAATGCAATGCCTGCTAGGTAACTGATTTTTCCCATCGGGATTGACTTCAAGCATCCAGTGCAGATATTGTTGCAAAAAGCATCTTCCACTATCTGGTCCATTTCTAGCCTCATAAAATACTCTGCTTCTCATCTGATGAGATGAAATACTGTACTGTACTCTGCTTCTCATCTGATTTACGAGCCAGAACCCTCTCCTTATGTACGCACGCACGTAATGGCGGCGTTTCACATCTACGACATAGAGCAAACTATATACTGAACCTGTTTCTATCTTTCTCTATTTTTTAGATCTATAGAGTAGACTGGAGGCGGAAATAGGACCCGTAAACCATAGAGTGAAAAAGCAGGGGAGCGACAGATCATCTCGGACGACGTACCAGGACAGGGCTGAAGAGAAAGCTGTGATAGGCCAAGATGTTTCTACGTGCCGGGAAGCGCGCGAGAAGGGAGGCGCCACTCCCGCCACTCCCTCTCTATGGCGCGCCAGCCCGTTACAGACCAGGAGAGGGATGGCGCGCGGGGAAAACTAGGGCGCCCGTCACGTGACCGCGCCGCCGCATTCCTTCCGTCAGCCATTTTAGGTTCGGATCACCGAGGCGGCGCCATTAAAGTGCGAGAAAGGAGGGAAACCCAACGAGAGACCCCCCCCCC